CGCCGGAGACCGGCGGTCAACGGTGGTTGACCGGCCGGAAAAAAAAAGCAGGAAAAAAAAATTTCAAAAAAAAAAAAAAAAAAAAAAAAAAAAAAAGTCAACGCCGGAGACCGGCGTCTCCGGCGGTCAACGCCGGAATCTGACCGGAAAAAAAACAGTTCAGAAAAAAAATTATTTTCTGAAAAAAAAAGGTTTTGGGGGTTAATGTGATATATTTGTTTAAATCCGGGGTCAATGTGTAATATTAAGGAAGTTAGAGCATAATGGGTGGAATTGTTAAGAATTATATTATTGAGGGTATTTTAGACTAAAGACATGGGGATGGGCTTAATTGAGGGACTGTTTTTTTTGTGGACTAAAATGCATTTAAGTCCCATGTGATGGGCCTTTTTGCCATTTGCCCATATTTCATTTCCATATTAATTATTGGGCAATGTACAGTTTGTACCCCTAAACTATAAGAGTTGTACCAATTTGCCCCCTGAACTACAAAATGTCCCCAATACACCCTTGAGTTTATGGTCAACCATTAAATTATTAACACATTTAATTTAAATGTGCAATTAATTCTCTGCCCTTGGGGTTGTTATAAGAAACTTAATAATTATATAATTAATATGGGTCATATTTGTCGATTTTGTTATGAATTTGTGATTGAAGTGAATTTATAGTTTACATGATTTTCTTAATTGTACGTATTTAATTTTTGGATTCAATATGTTTGCTAATTGTCTTTTTTTTTTTCAATTTTGTGCATATTTTGTTTAAGCACTCAATTAAATGCATAACTTTTGGGGTGATTTTTGTGCATTATTGCATTATAGGATGTCTTGTACTACGAAGTACTAGAATTTTGTGTATTTGAGCTGTTACTCAACATTTTAATAAATTTTAGAAGAAAAAAACAGTGGCCTTTTAGTGGTTAAATAAGGAGAAGAAAAGCAGAAATACGAGAAAAGAAACCAAAAAATATGAAGAAAAAAAAAACCTGACAAAATAAGCAAAAAAAATTAGGGAAAAAGTTGTAATATATATATATATATATATATATATATATATATAATTGAATAGAGGGGTAAAGTAGTCAAAAAATGTCCAAAGGTGGAAAAAATAGCTAGAAATCATAAAATCAAAGTGTCACATCAGCATTTACAAACAAAATTTAAATAGAGGGAGGTATTTGAGACGTTTTATAGTACAAGGGGACAAGCGGGTACAACCCCATAGTTCGGGAGTGTAAACTGTACTTTGCCCTTAGTTATTTTCTTTTTCGATCAAATATTATCTATCAGTCTAGAGTTCTAAATTCTAATAATGCATTAAATGTATGTTTTTAATCGATACTTATCTGGAATAGAAAGAGTGATATATACCACTCAAATACAAGTTGAAAAAAAAATACACAAGTCTTACGTAGTATAGCATTCGACAAGTCATTGGATTTGTGATTTGAATTTTAGATAAAGAATTAACAAAGGAGGGAAAATTCTCACAACTTTTGAATTAATTTATATTGCGGCAACTTTGTCGCGCTATGCGCCAACGCGCATTATATTACTCTCTCTCTCTCTCTCTCTCTCTCTCTCTCTCTCTCTCTCTATATATATATATATATATATATATATATAGACACGATCTGAGACCCATCACAACATGGCCCCCACATCGACTCGAGAGTGGGGGGCTTAATGATATGCCTAATTGGGCCAACCCAATGGGCCTACAATTTCTTTACCTACTGGGCTACGAGCCCAATATCGAAGACCAATATCACCGAGGCCCAAACACCTTCAAGTAAGGCTTGGGCCCAACAAAGCAAACCCAACCCAATAAACGACATATAAATAGAGGTTTTACTCATTTTATTAAGGTACGTCCTATTAACTGAGCAATACAAAAAACGCGTATTCTCTGGACTATTTCTATGATCAGCACGTCTGACTTGAGCGTCGGAGGGGTTTCCGCCGGATCAACCCCCGGCGTAGTTCACGTGTTTTATGATCGCAGGTACCTCAGGATCATCAAGTTGTCAAGCTACTGATCCGCTTTGCTCTCCCAGTTCATTTTCTACACCACCCTAGGTGAGCTAAGTATTTAGCATCATCAATGTCAGATCAAAACAAGTTCAAAAGAAGAGAATATATTCAATAAGCACATGATTTAATTTATTTGAAGAGGAGCCATGAAGAATAATGTCAATAAGATATTTCTCTACCCATATTCTTTTTCAATTTAATTTATTAAATTAAAAATACAATTTTGGCCGCGGCTATTCGCAATACTAGTTCCATCAAGTGGAAGGAAGACCAATTAAAAATTTAAAAGTATAATTATATTGCACAACTAAGTTAAAATATGTTAAACTATAATTATATTTTTTCAAAAATTTATCATTTTTGGATGTCAGTTCAATTCAGTGTGTTATATATGTGGACCATTACACAAGACATAACATGTGTTGACTGCCGATGAAGATAAAAGTTGTTCGTTATTAATGTATTATGAAAACATAAAATTGGATTTTAATTATTAAATTGAATTTTAATTGTTATTATTATTTTTCAGAAGGACCATACTTACAGAACTGGTCCTACAAGTCAGTATTTATTATTTGTTTATTGCATAAAACGACACCGTTGTGGGTTAGCTTAATTATATGGAATCAAAATTGAATTTGTGAATTCAAATTAGTGACGAATGTGCTTGTTTGTACAACAGATATTAAGATGGGAAATTTGCACATGCAGAAGTAAATACCATACAATCAATTTGAAATTGGAGCACATGGTAACAACAATATATAATAATTAATAATAATAATAATAATAATAGTAATAAAAAAAATTGTCATAAAGGAAAAAAAAAAATCAGTTGGTTATGGCTCAATAATTAATGACCATAAGGAAATCCAAGAAGTTGTTTCTCTTACTGCACCTCAATTTAATGATACTACTATCTTTTTTCTGCAACTATGTTTTGATGGGATATAATTAGTTGTAGGGGGTGGGGGGTAAATGGTGAAAATTTAATTCACAAAAAAGTTACTTGCTAAAGTTTCATATATTTTATGGGGTGAATTACATTTTGATGGTTTACCTGTTTCATATGAGGAGTTTTTTTTTTTCCATTAGTTTTTTTAAATTCTTATAGAATACATACCACAATTTGTTGTAAGTTTTTCTAAGTTTGAAAGAAAATAGAAGCTTTGTCATTTAATTTAGTTTTCACGGTGCAATTCGCAATTCACTCTACTTCGAAGGAACTTGCTAACCAATGCGCGGAAATTTTTTATTCTTTTTTTTTTTTTTTGGCATACTGAATGATCATTTCAACGAACAGCTTGGGCGAAACTGTTAGTGAGGTGATTTATTTGATATTTATTTCTCGAATAGCCAACATTATTGTGAAGCAAAATAAAAAAAATAAAAACATTTATATATCATTTATATAATTCAATATTCTAGAAAACTATTTGGCAAGTACATCAATCCCAGGAGCTCAACAGTTTTGGCACCACTTAATTAATTGACAACTGATCAGTAAAAGTGCAGAAACTACAAGTTCAATAAATTGAAAAACAGAATTCAATTTGGAAACAGACTAGTTGATCTGCACATGCTGATGCCACAATAAAAAAACTCCAAGTATGGTACACAAATCAGCCCTTTATTTAATTTTTTCCCCAGAAACTGTACACAACTGCAGCAGATTTCACTGGACAATTCTACTACTGAAAAAAAAAAAAACAGTTTAAAAACATGCAAGACTTTTTTCAAAAGACTTGGTGGGATTTTCACCCATCACCTATTCATTCACCTGATCTTTTGCTTTAATTATACAGCCACTTCTCGAAAAAAGAAAAAAAAAACACGTCGAAATACACAGCAATAAACCGCTAGATGCATCTAATACCCCACGGTCTATAAGTTTCATTTGTTCTGTTACATATAAGTTTATGGTGAATTTAACGGACTTAGTTAAGCCCGGATGATCAGAGATGAGAAATTACGATTTTATCCAACAAAATAATGAACAAAATTGAACAAGAGGAAGATAATAATAATGAAAATAAAAACGGTGATCTTAACCTCTACCATCGACATCAAAGCCAGCACCAGTCCAGCCAGGTGGCGCGGGGCCTCTACCCTTAGGCACTGCTCCAATACCGCGTACTCTTCCTTGAATTGAACCTTTCTTCTTCCCATCGGTAGAATTCGATTGATTCTGTCCATTTATGGCAGAGTTACCTTCACTAGATACAGTTCCCTTTGCTACTTGTGCTGGTTCGGATGTACTTGTGACTGAAGAAGACGATGAATCTTGAGGTATAGTAGCTGGTTGCTGTCTTTGATTCACATCCTAGAAACACGGTAATTAGGTCAAAGTCGTAAATTTTCTCAAGGTGAATAATGACTCTCTAGAGGGTTTTACTCGTTTTTGTTTAATTGTTTGGCAAATTAGCAAATATGAACAAACTCGTTGTATGTAAATCAGAATGAGCAATATATCATCTATTGTTAGTCGTTACCATTATTTATTAGGTAAAGAGGTGGATGCACAATCTAGAATGCAATGAATCACGTATACTGGTATTATTAGACAAGGCCTAAAATTGTTGATTCGGGTAATCCTGGTAGTTAGGGAAAATCTTGATCAGAATTGCTTAGATACTAAATTCGTACAGAGCCATGTTTGGATCATCTGGTTTTTAATGAACAGATGGAAATATTGACTTATGTAATAAAAAAGAAAACCATATAATGCACGAAAAAGTTCAAATTATGAGTCGGTTTACGGTATTCATCTTCAATTATTTCCGAGTTGTCGATGTCTTCAATTATCTCAGTTACATTTAAATAAAATTTTGGAATAAACTATTATGATGGGATTTCATCCATCCATGATAAACATGGAATTTCCTATTGGTTCGCTATATAAATATCAAAGACTGCAAAAACCAGTAAACTGATATCAATCTGAACTTCACCAAACAATTGCAAAAGACTACTGATTATGTCATCATGCTCCTAGAAACAAATTGTATCGTAAATCTGCTCGGATTCCAAAGATTTTTTTATTTAAAAAAGGATGAATATGCCTCAGGATCTAACAAGAATGCATAAGGAAATTCTTATCCATCTCTTTTCTACCATAAATCTTCAATCATTGCATGCTAAAAAAAAGGAATAATACAGAGTCCACAGAAATCATACAGAGGGAACACTCGCAGACGATCTGCCCGGGTTCAAAGCTTCCAAACGGCGTTTCAATTCCTCCAGTCTAGAAAGCTGGGTATTGCTGCTTTCATGGACCTGCAAAAAAGAAAATTGTTTAATATAAAATAGAAGGAAACAAATAAAAAAAAGGAAATATCTCTGTAAATTTGTAATACCAGGCTATTCAAATCCTCACAAAGCTTCTGTTTAATAGCTTCCTCATCCTGCACAGCTTTTGCTGCTGCTTCCCAGGCCTAGTGATCAGTAAAATATTTACCAGTGAGGAGTAAATTGAAGTAACATAAATGAAAATATTTCTCTAATTATCCAGTGAAATAACTTGGTTTCATGTGGAAAATTTACCAGTAAGCATATATTTTGAAAAATATTTGCAAACTAATAATAACTGAAATTTGTATTTAAAAGTTTTCAATCCACTTCACGAAGTGTCGACATGTTTTTGACAAAAAATCAACACTAAGTGGATCAAACATAAACACAATATCATTGAAGAGTTTTACACATTATAGTTATAAAACACGGAATGTTTAGACATGAAATCTTGAGTTGAGTTCAATAAATGTGGTGCAGCAAACTAGAATTGGAGTAAAATTCGTAACATTTATGCACATGCATAATAGATGTATCTCTAAATTGGACAAATGCAGCAAGAACAGCCATTAAAGGAAAAGGAGAAATACCTTCTTAGCTTGTTCTTCTTTCAGCTTAGCAGCATGAATTTTCTCTGTTGACAGTTCTATTTTCTTCCGCATGTGTTCAAGTGCTAATAAAGTAAGAAAAGAGATAAAACAATACTCAGGTGGACTCCTCGGAAGCTATTCATAGCGAATGCTGGACAGCAAAGACATACCAGCTTTTTTTGGACCAGCAGTAAGCTTCATTTCCATATCGAGATTTGTTAATTCTCGTTCGACATCTCGAATCTTGGAATAATTTTCTGCGATGTACCTGAGTGGATGAACAAGGCATATAATTTCACAACTTATCATGACATTTTATTATGTCAGGAGCAAAACAGGTTTCCGGACAAATGTTAGCTCCTGAATTTGCTCGTATCCTCCTTTATTAAGCATTTTCTTACTTTCTTCTTCAACAAATTTCCGACTATTTCTGACTAAGTTTACTTGCAGATCAAGTCTTAATCGAGATTGCTGATCACATACAGGAAGAATAAGCATCAAGTATTACTCCCAAAGCATATAATTTATATAACTACATAACGAACTTCCAAAAAACGAATATTGTTCTTTCTAATTTAACTTTATAATCCTGTTGTCCTCGCCACGTGATATACCGATTAACTCCCAAAACTGCTATTTTTCGTTACTATAAATAATTTCTTAGGCATGCTACTGATTACTGAACATTGTTTAACTAGAAGTAACTTCAATTATACGCAATCTAAAGTCTATGGAAGGAAAGATGCATCAGAGTATCCGAGATCTAAACGTTCAATTAAGCTAAAACTCAATCTAAAACAAACTACGAAAGCAGTTATATCAAATCCAACAAAATATCAGCTAAATCAAAATCAAACATAGAGAAATTAATGAAAGGAAGAGAGGAAAGTCAACTTACTTCCTCAACTGAAGCTGCTCTTCCTCAATTATCTGAAACCCCAAATGCAACCGGTTAAAAAAAAAACAGAAATTCAAAATTAAAACCATCAAATAATCCATGATTCGAAATTCAAACAACTCACCTTCTCGGTGTACGCGATGGCAGGAGATTCCCGGGCCAGGCCGTCAGGCCCGATCTCCGGAAGCAACAATGAGCCCACATTGCTGTTCGGATTCGGATTCGGGTTCGGGTTTGTCGCCATAGGAAAACAATCAGAGCGATCAAAGCACTCAGGATTCTTCTCGGAAAATTGAGTCCGAATCTTAGAGGAACCGACAAAAAAAATGATTGATTTCACGAAACAAGCCTTACACTAAAAATGCCGGGGTGAAAACGTTTGTTTTTTGAGTGAAATTTCCTCTCCGCCGCTGAATTGGTGGTGCCTTTGTTAGCGACGGAGAAATTTCCGGCCAAAACCAGGGGGGAAATATCGTGGTAGAACGTGATGGGTTGCGCCTCTCGAAAAAAAGTTATTTATGAAAAACACGCTTTCTTTTGTTTTGCGTGTTTTCATCCACAAATGGCTTAAAAACGCTATTGGTGCAATCGTTTTGCTTTTTCCACACTCAAAAAGTCAAAATTAGTCTCGTCAAGACCCATTTGACCCAAATCATTTTCTATTTTATCTCATCCAATTGAAAATTTTATAGTCTTACTATAGTTTTTATATCAGCATTTCAATCGGAAAAAAAAAATTCAGTAACTTAAAATTTAGCAAAATTAAAATAATTATTGAAGCAAATCAACTCTAATAACCTAAAGAATTTTTCTAGATAGGAAAAATATTTATTATTCATTCAACTTTATTAATCTAAACAACAATTTTGTAGTTGTCTAGCATCACTATCAATGATTATCGGGTGATTTATGACCGGTTTGGCTAAGTTTATTTTAAAATAGCTGATAAGTGTTTGGATAATAATCATATTATCTATTTTTAGTCATTATAAGATCTTAAATAAAAAGGTAGGTAGAACTATTTTTTCAAAAAAATTATTATTTGCTTTCCAACACCTTTTTTTTTTTTGAATTTCTAAGATATTTAAAAAGAAAAAATACGAAACACATTATAAGCTTAGTCAAAAGATTAGCAAATAATGAAAATGAAATAGAAAGTTCATATATTATTTTATCTAAGATGTCATACAATTTAATCAAAAACTTATTCATTAAACTTATGTCAATTTAAATGCAATGCTTAAAAAAAATCAAACAAATGTCATTTAATCAAAACTTCAGAATTAGCTTTTTTTCAGCATAGAATCCAACAAACATTAAAATGGTGACAAATTTTGCTGATTGTATTGTTAATTGTTCATTCACAACTACAAGAACCGATACATCAATCGAGACGATAAGCAGCCTTTATTATTTAGGGTCACGTTCTCGGGTTCGAATTCGCCCCTCCCCTATTTTCCTATTACTAATAAGTAATAACAGAAATTAATTTTCTTTTAAAAAAATAACTACAAGAAATGAAATGATAGTTACTGCATTTGTTTCTTCTCACTCAGAAACTTGCCCGATAATTTGTTCGACTTCCTCTTTCGTAGGTAGGGCCGGAATAGCTCCGTTCTTAGTCACCGTGAGGGCCCCACAAGCATTTGCAAACACAAGAGCCTCTCTCAACTTTTCCTCGTCCTACATAAAAAATATAATTAAGCTCGATAATCACACTACTTAGACAACAATAAACACATATAATTTAGAGCTTGTATAATAGTTCATTAATCACACTAATTAAGCGAAATACCTCAAGAAGATTCACATCTGATGCTAAACAGAAAAGTACAGCGCCCGTAAATGCATCACCGGCACCGGTTGTGTCAACGGACTTCACTTTCACACCAGGAACTCTTCCCTTAAATTTCTGCACCACAAAATTAATTAATATAATTTTTTATTTTTATTTTTTATTTTTTAAGGTCAGCATAATGAAATAAAATTTCACAAAAACAGACCTTTGTGTAATATCTGCAGCCAGCTTTCCCTTCACTCACGAGCAAAAGACGAAGATTAGGATGAAAAAGCTTAGTCATCACCACATCATCATCCTGCGGGTCGTCACCTTGGGTCAAAAACGAAATCTCCTCTTCGCTTATCTGTTACATTATAAAATAATTAATTAATTTACGTCGGTTAACACTTCTTTTACAGGCTGTGTGTGTGTGTGTGTGTGTGTGTGTGTGTGTAATATACCTTGATAAAATCAGCTTGGTCCCACACAGACATGATGCCCTCTCGAGCGGAATCTTCCGAAGGCCACAAGGCCAATCTCAGATTCGGGTCGTAAGATAGTAAAATACCCGCATTCTTGGCAATGCCCATTGCAGCAAGATGTGTCGATTTGCATGGCTCTTCGATCAAACTGATCGAACCGTAGTGAAATATGGTAGCCTGAAATGATTAATTCTGTATTATTCTCTAATTACATTAAAAAGTGGAGGAAAAAAAATTAAAATATTAAAAAATAAAATTGGTACCTTTTTAATGAGATCTGTATCGAGTTCAGACTCGTGCAGAAGCATGTCGGCACTAGGGTTACGGTAGAACATGAATTCTCGTTCGCCGTCTGCTCTGAGTGTGACAAAAGCCAATGCAGTTCTTGCATTGTGGTCGAATCGAACACCGGAATTATCGACTTTGTTGTCTTTCAATGTATCGGCTAGCATGTGCCCAAATTCGTCATTTCCTACCTATGTAAGAGAACATACACTTCTGATTTTTCCGATTTTTTATTTTTCTAGTTCAGTTCAGAAACAACGTAAATACGGTATAAACAAGTATCAACAATATCTTGAATGTGTACACTAGCATTCAAAAAAATACTATAATTATCGGTTAATGCAAGAAGATATCGGAATTAACATTTTGAAAAATGAAATTTACCTTTCCGATAAAAGCTGCAGAGCCTCCTAACTTGGCTATACAAACAGCTACGTTAGCAGGGGCGCCACCTGGCGCTTTCTTGAAGGAAGGAGCTTCAGCGAGCGAAACTCCGCCAACTGTCGGCACAAAATCGATCAGCATTTCGCCGAAGCAAACAACGAGAGGGAGATGGCCCGCCTCAACCGAACCTCCATTTTCGTTCAGCGAAAGAGAATTGAAGTCACCTGTAAAATGTCGAATTAATTCATATAAGAATGGCATGGAGAAAATAAACGACGACAAATTTCTCGGTAGAACACTCAAAAACCAGACGAAAGATACGAACCAAGAACTCGTAATTTCCATAAATTTATCGAATGGCAAAAAACAAATAATTGACGTAATTTTAACGGATTTCAGAAACCCGTTTAACAGTTACGAAAGCGTAATCCTATAATACGATTCTTGATTCTGCGTAATCAACAACAGGAAAAAGGACAATTAATACTTCAATTCACCATGAAAGTGGAAATTAACATCACTAACTACTAAAATTAGAAACTAAAATGCCCTATCAGAAATTACACATTTAAAAATCATCCAAGAAAGCTGTTCTTCGTCAAGATTTATAACTAACAATCATGAAATCCAAATCAAAGAAACCCCATATTCTGAATCAAAACCACACAAAATCAAACGCGTGTATAAACATTCAAAACAGTCATTAGAATATAACCAAACCCGATCTTCAATCAAATCCCATCTCATATAATAAACTACACACACACACACACACATACACACAATCCAAACTGAACTGCATCAAACAAATCAAATAAGCAGAAAGCAAAAATATGAAAAAAAAAAAAAAAAAACCGAACCAGAAATGGGGTTTTCAGCCATGGCAGAGCAGCGATCAAAGCTTGGAAGAGGGGGCAAAAAACAAAAAAAAGGTGGACTTTTTTGAGTTATCGGCGACAAAATTCACGCAAAGAAGAAAAAGTTGGTCGTTAGCGAATTGAATACGAATAGTGGAAAACAACTTTTGGGGTTGTTGGATTGAGAAATGCAAAACCGGGAGAGAAATTAATATTATTATTATTATTATTATTATTAATATTAAAAATAATAAAAAATAATAATAATGGTGTATGGGGTTCTTGAAGTTGGCAAAGTGTGAATAAAAATTAGCAACAGAGCTGGTGACGGGACAAACAGCACGCACACAGCGACGGTGTCGCGTGCGTGTGACGCGCGTTGGGTCGGCCCAATTTCGGTCGTAGATTCGATTTACCTTTTTTTCCCAATTTTGATTTGATTTCACTGATTTGGAATTCCCGAAACTTTTGGGGGGCAAAGTGGGGACCTTTTGGTTTCTTCTATTGGATAGGGAAATTGCACTTTGGTCCCTACTAAGTACTAAGGGGTTAAAAGTGAAATAAGAAAATTTAGTTTGTGAGTTAATCTAGATTCTAAAGTGAAATTCCACATTGTTTCTTACTTGTTTAGGGGATGGGTTGCTTTTTCTTTGTTTGGTTTAGTTAAAGAATGTATATTGATTAGGTACAAGAGGGTGGCAAAATTGAAGATTAATTAAGTGCAATGCATGTTGATGATCATTGAATTATGTGAATGATAAAAACTATATAGGGTAAATTACATCTACACTTTTGAGGTATGCTAAAATAACTTGAAGGTTTCTGTAGTATCGGTAATTACAATCACTCCCCTGAAACATTGTTGGAAACTCTAACTCTAACGGAATAATGTATTTGATACGTTATTCCGATAGAGTTCTGTGGGGTGATATGACTCCCCCAACATTTGTTAAATCACCCAATTATATACGGAGCTGACAATCGGGTCATATGAGTCGATGTTGTGTTGGTTCAAGCTCATATACTATATCGGACCTCGTTTTTATAGGTTTAAACTCACATATGAATCGGTTCACCTCAAACACGACATTATAAAATTTCACATTGCATTGTAAAATTATCATTTATTATTCAATTCATAGTGCATTATGAATAATTTATTGTGTTTTGAGGGTTCAAAGTGTTGTTATTGCTTTTCAAGGGAGCAAGTGCCAAAATGGTCAATTCCAAGGGTGAAAAGTGGGATTAAACCATTTAGTATTATAGTTATTAATTTATGTAAAAATTCAAAAAGAAAAAATTAAGAATAGAGAATTGCATTAAAAAAATAAAAATCAATTAAATAAAGAATTAAAGAGTAAAGAGTGGTATTTAGTTGAAGAAAATGAGGAAAATCAGTTCACGTGGGACAGGTGACGTGAAAACCCAACCATAGAGCTCAAGGAATCAGAGATAAAGCAATCTTCACGTACGTACACGTGTCACCCAATTTATGATAGTACACGTGTCACCCAATTTTTTCTCTACACACTTTGAAACTTCAATCAAAGCACACAGCATATGCCTCTTTCTCTCTCTAAAAACCTCGATTTCTGCCCTTCCATAATCCACCACCACCACCACCACCACCGCACCACCACCGTCTGCATTTCAGACTAGAACTGAGAAAACGAAGAACCAGGTGAAAGTATATCGATTGATTTCGAAACGACTGCGTATCAACATGGCTTTGAACTCCATACTCTCGAGGCCTTCATCATTTTCATCGAGGAACTTGTTGAAGAATTACAGCGCCAGTGATTCTGCTTTTTCTCTTCCAATTCAATCAATCTCTTTCCTCAACCCAATTCCACTTTTCTCCAACGTTTCCTTCAACAATGCGTCGCCAGCTTTCTCTTCCGTTCCGGTTAGAGCCGCCTCCGCGTCCGGTTCTCCTTCCGCCACCGTTGCCCAATCCCCGGAACTCAAGGTCGATTTTTACTTGCACAATTGCATAAATTTATTCGTTGTGTGTATGCTTATGTTGAAGTGATGTGTCAATTGTTTTGGCTACATGTTTGAAATCGGTGTTTGTTTGTTGATTTTAATTTTTTTTTCAGATTAAGATTGTACCTACACAGCCAATTGAGGGTCAGAAGACTGGTACGAGCGGCCTCCGCAAAAAGGTAAACTCTAATTTTTTTTTTTTTTTTTTTACTGATTTGTCACATTGGTTGATCATGTTTGGCGAACAGCGATGCTTGAATTGTTGTTTGATTGGCTAAATTTTGTTAGGTGAAAGTGTTCATGCAAGATAATTACCTCGCCAACTGGATCCAGGTTCGAAAATTTAGATTCTGAAGTAGTGAATAATTTAGTGGCACATAATTTGCAAGTTTCGTGGTCTATGATAAATAAAGCGTATCAAAACATGTTATGCGTATGATTTGTTCTTGTGTCTGATGAGGGGTTTTTGTGTGTATCAAAGGCGTTATTTGATTCGTTGCCACCAGAGGATTACAAAGGTGGAGTTTTAGTTTTGGGGGGTGATGGTAGGTATTTCAACAAGGAAGCTGCACAGGTATTCATACTTAAGATTGATTACACTTTCAGTAGTCAATTATTTCCTTGTTCACCGTGCTGATGCGGCTAAATTCGTAATGCAGATAATTATTAAAATTGCAGCTGGTAATGGCGTTGGTAAAATCTTGGTTGGCAAGTGAGTTTCTCTCATTAAATTATTCTTAGTTCTATGTAGATAAATCAAATGTTGATGTAGTTAGTTATTCATCTTACCATTTTTGCGAGTTTTCCTATGTTTCTGTTATTAAGAGAAAATGTATCTACGTGTTAATATTAGTGGTTTTTTAGTCTTTCAAAAGCCATCTCCTGCATATCAAACCCTGTGTTCTCTAATCCTGGTTAAAAATTTCCAATTTAAAAATTACCCAGTCAACATATCTACTGACTCTCTCTTCATTTTCTACATTAACAACTTTGCATTTATTGAAAACAAGGGTTTTAGATGATAATAACTCGAGAGCTGAATTTTTTGAATGCAGGGATGGAATAATGTCTACACCAGCTGTTTCTGCTGTAATAAGGAAGAGAAAGGCAAGTTTTATTCTTTAATTTGTTTATAATTTTTATATACGCGCTGCAATGTAAACCTTACGATTTCTACTTCTCTTGTCACACAGGCTAATGGTGGTTTTGTGATGAGTGCAAGTCACAATCCTGGTGGTCCTGATTATGATTGGGGTATCAAGGTATTTTAAGACTCCTAATAATTATGCGCAAGCCTCTTTGACATTTTCACGTTTGGTTTCTTGTTGAAACTAACAATTCTTTTAGCATTTTGATCATGCATCACCTTGTAGTCTCGACGAGACTATTCTACTAGTACTAATGAGTCTTCTGATTTACACTTTTGCAGTTCAATTATAGCAGTGGCCAACCTGCACCCGAGTCTATAACTGACAAGATTTATGGCAACACTCTTTCTGTATGTGCCCTGTATCTATTCTTGCATAGAGCTGTCTCATTCTACGTTGATTTCCTTGATTATATAATCAATCCTTTTCTGACATATCACTTTTATTGATATTACTTGCATGGCATCTATCATCCACTTTTTACCTTAACAAAATATGAGGTATCTATGTTTAATATATTCATTCATCCATTAGAGCAAAATTCAATTCATTAACGACAAGAAACAAGATTGGTTAGATTCTGTTCATTTTAACTTATAACAGACATTTATCGAAGAATAGATATTTGCTCCCCAAGGATTAAGGAGATACATTGTTTTGATACTCATTAGCAGCTAGAAAAATTAACCATACTAATCAACGCTTGAGATCAGTCTCTAAAGCTACTTTGAGCTCTGTTTGATAGATATAATGACCAACCTTCAGTACACGTTTTTCGTTCGATAAGATCTGAAACTCGATCAATTAGTAAAAAAATGATAAATTGTGTAGAAGCATCAATATACTTGAGCTTGATTCTTATTTGAGTCGATTAATTTGCTTTCAACCTCGACTCACTTGCCAAAGAAACCAATCTCAAGACACAATTTTCGAAGCTCGAAAAAATTCAAATAATCTTGATTAGGTTAGGCTCAACTCCATTCGTATACAGCTCTACTCATTAGCACTGTCTAGTCTTTTTTTTGCTTAAGAAAAAGTGAGCATTAGTCTGCTTATAATTTTTCATACTCTTGAGATCAATAAATATTATTATTTGGGATGTTCTTTGTTAAAAGAGGGAACAAGTGATGATTTTCAGGTCTACTGCTGAAAGACATTCTCCCCACAGATACATCATGCGTATACTTAGTTAATCTTGCTGGTATTTTGGGTTTTGATAATTTTTAGCAGAACACTTTTTGTATCCAGTTGAACATTAATCACTCTGACATCTCTATTTTTTCATGCAGATCTCTGAAATAAAAATGGTGGACTTTCCTGATGTTGATCTATCTCTTCTTGGTCTGATAGACTATGGAAATTTTAGTGTAGAGGTAGTTGATCCAGTAGCTGATTATTTGGAACTTATGGAGGTAAGCACCTGACATAGGGTGTCAAAGTTCTTATTAAGTAATTGTGTGCTCTTTCATAGTAACACTTTTACAAAATTTCTGCAGAACGTATTTGATTTTTCACTTATTAAGAGCCTTCTATCACGGCCAGATTTCAGGTATACAAGAATATTGCTTTGTACTTGATAGTGCCTTTTATTTTGTTTTCCTTGATTGCAATGTGATAAGCTCACGATTCGGTATATACTCTTCCTAGGTTTGTATTTGATGCCATGCATGCTGTTACTGGTGCTTATGCTAAACCAATCTTTGTGGACAAGCTTGGAGCCAGCCCTGTATGTTTCACTGGCTAATTTTGTTAATCATTACCACTAAAAAACCAATAAAATGGTTCTCCCACATAAAAATACTTTTCAATTTACAGGATTCCATTTTAAATGGGGTGCCCCTAGAAGATTTTGGACATGGTCATCCAGATCCCAATCTCACGTAAAAACTGATGCTTCTGTTAAATTTCACTTGATTACAAAACTACGCGTCTCTGATTTTCAATGTTGTTACTTGCTCTGTGAAAGATATGCCGAGGATTTAGTCAAGATAATGTACGGAGACAATGGACCTGCTTTCGGAGCTGCAAGTGATGGTATGTTTGGCTGTGCTTATGTCAAAAGCATTTTTATGTACTTCCATTTTGTGCAAATTGTCATCACTAAGGGCATTTTTATGATTAAATTGGATCTCTAAATATGACAGGTTTTATTGTTAAAAAAAGATAAACATTGTCTGCCCCAAAGCTGATAACATTTATTATCAGTACCCTTATTTTAATGCTCCCACAATACTCGTGAGTGTGAAAACTTCATTAAAACGTCGTATTATTGTGATTGCCTCATAACTGTTTGCTGGTTGTAAAGTCGTTATGAGGACAGACAACAAACATAAGAGCAAGGTCTTTGTTTTCTTACCTTTTATATTTATGTTGTATGTTGCAAGCAATAAGTGAATAATATATAACATCTTCCAGTGTCAAATAAGAAATCTGCTAAGTTTTCTCAAAGTGCAGAATCTTCCGAAGAGACATCTAATGTTATTGATTTCTTTCATTCTTCAGGAGACGGTGATAGAAACATGGTTCTTGGGAAAGGATTTTTTGTTACTCCTTCAGATTCTGTGGCAATCATTGCTGCCAATGCAGAAGAGGCTATTCCATACTTCAAGAGTGGCCCAAAGGTTTGAAAATCTAACATATTTTTTCGTTTTAAGTTTTTTATTTCCCTCTCCACAAAACTCTTAAATTTCCCAGAATATATAATCTAACAGGGTTTGGCTCGATCCATGCCGACAAGTGGTGCTCTGGATCGCGTGGCTAAGAAGTTAAATCTTCCTTTCTTTGAGGTTAGACAATCGGTAATCGATTGTAACTCATTTAATAAATCATAATCTTATGAATGAGATTTTTACTTTAGGTGCCCACTGGTTGGAAATTCTTTGGGAATCTAATGGATGCTGGAAACCTGTCAATTTGCGGGGAAGAAAGTTTTGGAACAGGCTCTGACCACATCCGTGAGAAAGATGGGATATGGTATTTACATCCTTATCCACTTAGTTCTCGTTTGGTTGTGGAGATATGTCAATCATTGATTAAATAACTGGACCTTAGTTGGTGTTGGTTAGCCTGATAACTTTTCGGGCCAAGCCAAAAATTGCTTTCATCATCGTTATCTTGGCTTATTGGGGAATTGTGTATTGGACCTCCCCTTGTTAAATTAAGCAATTGGCCATTTCCAGATTGTATTGCAATCTTATCTTGACTAATCCTTTTGTGGCAACCAAACAAGGCCTTATAATATACGAAATTCCATGGTTGATCTGCAGAACTTCTAACTAACGCTGCTCAGATCATTAATGCCATGACATACATTAGGGTTTATTTTCTTTCTTTCTTCTTTTAAATGTGAAAAGATCATGTAGAGATGACGAAATACAGGACTTGGCATGACTACTTATATTACTAGTCTTACCCTGGAAGTGCTAATTAGCTAATCCATTAAATGATTCATTAGTGAACGTTCTTTAGCAGAATATTTTAAAAATCTCCCCATTTTTTTTTGTTGAATGACTAATGTGGTCTTTAGTGACTCAAATACTGCTGATTGACAGGGCCGTTTTAGCGTGGATGTCAATAATTGCATTTAGAAACAAGGACAAGAAAGCCGGAGAGAAGTTAGTTTCTGTGGCCGATGTTGTGACTGAGCATTGGGCCACTTATGGGAGAAATTTCTTTTCTAGATACGACTATGAGGAAAGCCTTGTCAATTTTCATTTTTATTTTTTATTTTTAGCTTTCTGTCTCACGTAGATGTCGTTGCTTCCATTTCAATACCTAATTCTACGGTGAGATTGTGTTCAGGAATGTGAATCAGAAGGAGCTAATAAAATGGTAGAGCATCTTAGAGATATAATTTCTAAAAGCAAGGAAGGCGATGTATATGGCAAGTCTCTATCATTATTTTCCCTTTTGTTTTGTCTGAGGAAATCTATTCATGCTGAATGAGTTATGTTATTGCAGGAAACTACACCCTTCAGTTTGCTGATGACTTCAACTACACAGATCCTGTAAGTCGAATCTTCTTACCGATATTTTTTTCCTTTTTTTCCTTGTGTAGTGGAGAAATATTTAGTTTGTAACATAATTTGCTTTTTCCTTTTGTTTTTCTTTCTAATTCCTCAGGTAGATGGAAGTGTGGTTTCCAAGCAAGGCATTCGTTTTGTATTCACTGATGGATCGAGGATCATATTTCGGTTATCGGTGTGTATTGCCTTTGATTTTTTTCTCTATTTTAGCAAAATTATTTTCTGTTTTTTTTCGTTATATATATACCTTTTCTCTTTTCATGGTGAAATAATCGAGTAAGTTCTGTAGGGTACTGGATCTGCCGGTGCAACGGTTCGAATTTATATCGAACAATTTGAACCGGAGGCATCTAAACACGATGTGGATGCACAAATAGCATTAAAGCCTTTAATAGGTTAGTCTTTTCTTGGTTCTTTTTAGTCTTTAATATTCGTTGAACTCATTATATCATGAAGTTTCTTGATACTTTTATGGTTTATATATTTAGATCTGGCCCTATCAACTTCAAAGCTGAAGGAATTCACTGGACGGGAGAAACCAACAGTCATCACATAGATCAGATTTTTCAATTGCCAAATTTTGTGAATGGAAATTTTCCGACAGTAATAAACTATGGTATGTTGGAGTTCCTATCTATTTCCTCTAAATGTTTGGTAATAAATTTGTTACTTTTAGTTTTATTTATTATAGGAAACGTTTGTCCGTTCTGCCGATTTGGTATGCATAATTTATTCATAGAAGAGAGGGTACTCAGCTATGAACATTAATAAGGAATTATTATAGAAATTATATTGTGGAGTCTCGTGATCATTATAATTTTCTATCTGACCACATTTCTTAGAAACAATAAGTTCATAGTGCCTCGGTGACGAAAAGTTCGTATCAATTTTTAAACCGAGCTAAAGCTTATAACTCGAACAAATTGAAAATCCTGCTAAAGGTAAAGTTTGTGCCCCTTATAATTATTAAGGTTGTGTGTAAGTGGGCAGCACAATAAATGTGCAGTATTTTCCAGGTTTCATGAGTAAACAGGACAACATACATATATTTCCTATGTTACTTTCTTGTGATATCCTTTGAGACTGATGGCCCCCTTGATGCCGTAACACACCCACGTGAATATGCATGAATGTCCAATCGGACAGTCCCAAATGTTTTCTTCACAATATTTCGTCCGAGATAAAGAAATGATTAAGCTTCTCACTATACATGATACCTTATCTCGACTCCTTTGCATTACGTTTTTTGTCCCCTCTTTAATGGTGGACCCTCTATTTGTTTTTTGTTTTTTTTACCTTTGTCAGCAGATGAAATTGAAAATCATTGCAAAACTACGAAACACAATATTTACTTACACGGTCTGCTGCAATACTTTTTTATTACAAGGGAGAACTTTAGTGTTCACAAACGTGCCAATTTTACAGTGTACTTGAAACGTCATTCAAATCTTTGAATTTTTGCACACTTGAAACTTGTTTCTCCACTTCGACTAATATTTTGAGTTCATACGTTAAGAAACTAGGACCAGTATAACTACTTCACATTAGAAATTTTAACTCATTGTCATGGTGTTTTCGACTACTGGTCCCCAAAAGTCACTTGCTTATAAATATTTTTTTTCTGCCGGAGTTTGCGCTTAGCTTAATACATGAGATTATTTGTCATTTTCTTGTTCAATAATTGATATTAGGTTGAGCTTATAATCAAGAAAGGACAATCCCTTTCTCAGTGGGGGTGGGAATAGACTAACAGATGATGACTATGACTAGTTTGAGAATTATGATTGGACCTGATTGTCAAATCTTTCGGGTTTAGCTTTCAAGCCCGTCATAAAAACGGGCCTGAATTTTAATCGAACAATCGATGATATGTTATCATTTTAGAATATTTTTAGATTAGATTATGAAT